CTCGCCAGCATTTTTTGCTTGCTGTTCTGTTAAATTTTGCTATTCTGACTGGAGTCAAATGATATCTCATAGTTGTTTTGATTTGCATCTCTCTTAAAGCTAGAGATTTTGAACATTTCTTCATGTGCTTGTTGGCCATCTGAATGTCTTCTTTGGTGAAGTGTCTGCTCATATCCTGTGCCTATTTTTCAATTGGATTATTTACCTTTATCTTGTTGTGGTTCAATTATGTTTTAAAAATTCCTCTCTCTTCCTATTTCATTTTGTCAGCCATTACTAAACCTTTTTCAACTAGTTAAAATTCCTGGATTTAAGCTTTTTTTTACTCTACTATTCTTGACATAAAGTCCTAGATTATGAAGAAATTATATTTGTGCTATTTTGGAGCGCCAGTGTTCATTTTACAGAAATGATTTTTCAGAGGTGTAAAGGTACCTTTGTATTTCAAATAGAATTAACTATAACAACTTTAAAAGCTTTGACTTTGCTCATTCTGTGATCATAGTATTTCTCTCTCAGTTATGGACTCTTGATTGAGTTAAATTTTGTTTTGCTGGATACTGTGAAAAATTCATGCCTAAGTGTTGCTACTGTTGTTGTGTAGGTGTAAAAAGAGCAAGGGCCACCTGGGTATGACAATAATTGACCTCTGCTAACTCCACAAGGGGGAACTGTCCCCATCATCATCATCCACAGAACAAAACCAATTCCCAGGAGGTCAGACATGTCTGCCTTTTTCTACTAATTCCAACTCCTGTCTTACTGTTCTACTATGTCTAAAATCCATTGCCGTAGCTCACAAAAGACATGGAACCGTACTCAAAATGATGGGGTTTCTTAGGAAAGTGAACCAGACACAATTTCACTTGGCAACAGGATATAATATCTCAGTCAGCACAGCTTCTAAAATGTGCTCACAAGCACCTCAGCCTTCAGACTCCCAGCTTTAGTCCAGTGGTACAGAGTTCTTGGTCTTCCAATTAGGACCCTCCTTCCAATTCTCCATCCAATTTGGGGAAAGGCGCATGGCTTCAGTTGACTGGGGTAGCTGTCTGGGATCAGCTCTGCCTCCTGTCAGGTCTCTGGTTCTCTGCTGCAACTGCTGTCTTGTAGTTCTGGCTAGCTCAGTCAACTCTGGCCCTGAAGGGCATGCTCCTCTTCTTCGCTGGTAGTGAGATTCTCAACTTGTGCTGCTGAATTTGCTCAATTTAATCGTGAAACTAGCCTGTCCCCTTGTGGATAGACTAACGTGCCCTATTCACATATTCCCACCCATCCACATGGCAGCGTCAAAGTTAATGGCTAGCGAAAGAATTTCGAAAAATAAACCGTTAACACCATGATACCATCAAGTCAGAAAAGACTCAGAGCTGACCTTCTAGTGAGTTTTCAGATGTAGAAAATCACACAGGAGGAGATTATCCATCCTTCTTTGTGGAGCAACTGGAAGATTTGAACTGACTGCTGTGGGATTGGCAGTGCAAACCACTAAGCCACAAAAAGAAAAAAAAAAAGAGTTCAACTTTGAAAAATAGTTTTTTCTGATTATAAAATTAATAATATGAATTATCCACAGAGATAACTACTGTTGTGTTGATTCTGACTCACAACGACCTCATGTCACAGAATAGTGCTGCTCCGTAGATTTGCTTCAGAATTGACTTGATGACAACAGATTTTATTTTGCCTTTAAGACAGATGGTGTAGCCAGTGTTATTTATATCACTCAGCCAAAATTCTCAATGATTACTGATCCTAGGACTATTGGTATTGATCTGGTTGTGACTCATAGTGACTCGCTGTACAACAGAACAAAACCATCCTCACCATTCTCTGCATCACACCCACAGTTGTTGCTTTGCTTGAGCTCGTTGTTACAGCCTTCATTTCAGACCAGGTCATTGCTCGTCATCTTTTTTTTTTTGCTGACCCTTGACTTTTCCAAGCATCATGTCTCTCTTTGGGGACTAGTTCTTCCTGATAACATGTTTAAAGAAAGTTAGATAATATAATAGCTTATTATCTTCACATGTAAAGCACCTTCTGACTGTATGTCTACACAAACCATTTTGGGGTTTTTTCCCCCATTCTTTTAGTTTGAGGTATACTCAGTGTTCTTTGCCAAAACGATGATTCAAGGACATCAGTTCTTTGGTCTTACTTCTTCATTGTCCAGCTTCTAATACCTCTGAGGTGGTAAGGGTCAAGTGTACCACAGTCAAATTGACATCTTTGTATTTTAATACTTCTTAATTGTATTTGGTTTGCTCACAGAGTTTGTATACATTGTGTTTCATACTATCCTTCATTCATGTTATGTCTCATACAATCATTCCCATTCGTTTTGTTTTATAAAATTAATCATCATTGAACCAAAAGTCTTTTAATACTTTTGAAAAAGCATTTTCTTGTGATAGGGGTGAAAGTTTATAGAGCAAATTAATTTTACATTCATCAACATTTTTATGACATTAATTGTAATCCCCACAAAGAAACCATATTCTTTCTGCTTCTTAATGTGAGTTTCAATTCCATGAATCCTTCTATCCCTTCCTGCCTTCTGAGCATAATCCCTGGGAAGATACACCCCTTTTCATCTGAAATAGTTGATTGTTCTTAGAGTGGTACCTTGGTGGGATAACTGATCACTTTACAGGCTTCTTGTTTGGCTGAACATTGGGCTGCAGGAGCAAGTTTAGTTCCAGGTTTACAGGATGACTAACTGAGGCTGTAGTCTTAGAGGTCCCACCAGTCTCTATCAGACCAGTAAGCCTGGCCATTTTTTTAAAAGATTATTTTTTTTATAACTTTTGGAAGAGGTTTAACTTTTTTTTAAATAAAATTTTGTATTTTAGTTGTGATTTTAATGGAAGTTTACAGAAAAGTTAGGTTTTAATTCATTCATTGTTGTACATTTTACTGCCTCTCCCTTCTTTCCCCCTCCTCCAAGACCCCCTCCCATTCCTCTTTGCAATGTGCCTCTTATTCTGGGCTCTTGTCATACATATAATGCTTAATTATATATTCCTTTTAAACTGTTCTTTCCTTCATCTGTTCACTATCTCTCCACTGTTAATCTATTCTCCTCCCAACCCTCCATGTCAGACCTGCTTTGTAACAGTGGTGCTATGCAGTATTTGTCATTTCTCTTAAATTTTCTTACTTGTTCATTGCTTTTTTTTTCTTTTTTAAAAAATTAATTTAAATGAAAGTTTACAGACTTAGGGTTTCCAGTCATTCATTGTTATACTTTTCTCCCTGCCCACTCACTTCCCCCCACCCCAATTCATTCTTCTCCTTGAAAAGAAAAACTCGTTCATTGTTATGCAGTCCTTCCCCCCAACTCCACTCCAGTGTGCAGCCTTCACTTTGGACTTCTGTAATGACAAGACTACCCATTTATATATCCCTTTTAAACAGTTCTCTCCCTCATCTGTTTCAATGCTGTATACATTATTCCTCCCCTCCTTTTCTATCTTGCCTCAACCATGATGCCAGTCCTGTTTTACAACAATGGCGCTATGCAATATTTGTCCTTTTCTGACTGAGATATTTCACTCAGCATCATGTCCTCCAAGGTCATCCATTTTGCATACTATTTCATGAGTTCCTTGTTTATAAATGTTACATAGTATTCCATTGTGTGAATATACCGCTTCTCTATCCATTTATTTGTTGATGGGCACTTGGGTTGTTTCCAGCTCTTTGCTATTGCAAACAAACCACGATAAACATGGGTGTGCATATATCTGCTTGGGTGGCAGTTATGGTTTCTTTAGGGTAAATTCCCAGTAGTGGAATTGCTGGGTCAACTGGTATCTCTATTTGCAATTTTTTGAGAGAACTCCATACAGCCTTCCATAGCGATTGCACCATTTTACATTCCTACCAACAGTGAATAAAGGTTCCAGTTTCTCCACAACCTCATCAGCATTTGATGTTTGCTGTTCTGTTAAATTTTGCTATTCTGACTGTTTTGATTTGCATCTCTTTTAGAGCTAGGGATTTTGAACATTTCTTCATGTGTTTGTTTGCCATCTGAATGTCTTCTTTGATGAAATGTCTGTTCATATCCTGTGTCCATTTTTCAGTTAGGCTTTTTACTTTTATTTTGTTGTAGTGCTCGAGTATTTTATAAATTCTAGATATAAGTCCCTTGTATGACATGTCATTACCAAATATTTTTTCCCAATCTGTGCCTTCCCTTTTTACCCTGTTGAAAAAGCTTTGGATGTGCATAGGGATTTAATTCTTAGAAGGTCCCATTCGTCTATTTTATCCTCTCCTGGTTGTAGATTATATAGTTAAAGTTTTTGGCTCCTTAATGCCCTTTTGAATTATTCTAAAGCATTATTTTCTAAGGAGTAGGTACAATTTTGTTTATACTATTATAAATTATAGTTTACCTTACTCAGGAAGTGAAGTAATATTTTGTTTTGAGAGAATAAATATTTCTTCCAAATATGCATGTCTAAGTACTTTATATAATAACTCATGTAATTCTGATTTTATCTTTTCAAGTTACTTTTCTGAGTATCTGGAGGACAATGGACCCTTGAACATAAGACACAAAGTCTTCTCCGATGAATATCAATTTTTCCCAGAGGAAACTCAACGGATAGTACAAAAAGCAGGAGGTTTGAAAGAATTTCTCCTGAAATGTCCTCGCTTCGTTGTGATTGACAACTGTATTGCCCTGAAAAAGGTTTCCACACATGCCAAGAGAAAGGGAAAGAAGAAAACCATTAAGGAAGAGGTGAATGGCCTTTCACACATAGATGATGATAAGTATTTGCCATATTTTATGTCACTGAATCCAGATGCTGAGGAGTTTACACCAGAGTCAGTTTTGTCTTCAGCACCAGCTTCTCAGGATGGAATTCCTGAAGCAGCTTCAATGGATTCCCCCAACTCAGCTTACAAGGATGGGGAATCTGCGCTGGCATCGGAAGGTTTCTCCAGACTGGTATCCAGAGATGGAGAGCTCAGGTGGGTCCCTTGTGATTCTCCTCACCCAGTCTCTGGAGCTGTAGATCACCCGAAAGTTTTTCCTGACATTCCTAATCCAGTGTCTGAAGACATGGAACGCAACGACTGTGCTCAGCCCCAGATGGTCACAGGCTACTACACGTATATTCCTTTCCAGGCATACGACATCACACAGATCCCACCAGCATATATCAGTGTGCTGCCAAGTGTACCCCAGTATGCTGGCATCTACACCCCTTTGGCCGACATTTCTGAGTACCAGCTTCAAAGAGGAATTCCAGTTGTGCCATCTTTTGTCCCTCATCGTAGTCCAGATCCTAGTGCAGCTGTTTATTTTGAGGGTCATCATGGGAATTCTGTGAATGCCTGTGGCAACCAGATGAGCTCCAAAGCACAAATCCAGCAAGGCTGTCTGGGAGCATCACCGAAACCACTGAGCTACAGACCACATGCTGCTGGTACCGCCCATAGTGAGGTTAGCGGGAAAGACAGTCAAAGTGGGAAGCCTCACAGCAAAGAAGAAGGAAACAGAATCCGGACCAAGGCAGTCAGTGTTCATCCGCCTACACAGACTACTGCTGTGCAGGTAAGACTCAAATAGGAAGCAGAAAGGACTACTCACTGGTTTTCTTTATGGCTTTTATTGCTACTGTATTTATTTAAATCCTTTCAAAATACTAATATTGTAATAGCATTGTTATTAAAGCTTCCATCCAACAATGTTTTGGGTTTTTTAAAATTACTCTGTGTGTGTGTGTGTGTGTGTGTGTGTGTGTGTGTGTGTGCGCGCGCGCGCGCGTGCGGTCAAATTGGATCTGACTGGTACAAGAGAAGATTGTCCTTCCTTCTCCAGCAGAACATTTGGTGTATTCGGACTGCATGCAACAATGTTTTTAAATTAAGACCCCTTTGTGGAGCATGCTAAGTGATCCTATCAGAAACCAAGTGGTGAGGGTCAGTAAATAATCCTCCTCTGCCTTGCATAACTTCTGCACCCACTCAGTAACAGGGTAAAGGAGTCAGTAGGTGGAGCTAAAACATCATCTGAATCCCTAATAGTGGCACAGTAGGAGGATGTGGCTTACATCTGTGGAAAAGGGCATGTCCTGACAGTGAACCCCATATCTCACATGCTTACCGTGCAGTTATAGCAGTGTTGGGATTCTGCTTGTTAAATTTTAATACATGGAAGCATAAGTGGGCTTCTGGGACGAATCAAAAAGGAAGATTCTGAGCTACACATGCCTGGTTCTCATACCAAACCTGGGAAATAAATGTGAGAGATACGTCTAAGGCTTCCTGTCAAGCAGAAGAGTTAGTCAAGGTTCCTCTGTAGTTGCCTGTACAGAACCTGAAATCATTAAATCCCAAATGAACTTCCCTCTTCTCATGAATGTCTCCATCTTACTTTGAGAAAGTACGTTGAAGAGTTAGTGATTCAAAGCTATTTTCAATTGTACTGATTTTAAATGGTAGCTCTTTCCTAATACAGAATTTTTTGCCATTTTTACAATATTTACAGTTCTTACCTAACATGGAATTTTCCTAATACAGAAGTTTTAGAAAGCATGGAACATTATCTAAATTGGTCACCAAGAAGAGGGGGGAAACTTTTAAGCTTGCTTTAAAATGCTAGATTTATTTTGTGCCCCAAGAGATGGAATTCTTTTGACAGGCAATTTTCAGAGGTGAATTGCCTTTAAGTATGCTTTTAAAAAATTTTTGTTTTGCCCTGTAGGTGACCTGGAGTGTAGCACACCAGGAGGTCAATACTGATCCTTATGCACATTTTGAGACAGAGCCAGTAAGTCAAAATTGTAATAAACCATTGAAAGATTTCATTTTCATTAACAAGATGGCAGTGATGAACCAGAACTGTTTTAGAACCAGCTAATCTCAAAGTCAGCATGGAATAAGCTTTAGAACATAAAAAGAAAACTGGTTTTGTTTTTATTGTTGGACTATGGGAAGGGGGCAAAGGAAGAGGTAAGTTTTTTCTAGCCTGCTTTATTTTGAAGTATATATTAAGTATGTGTTACTTTACAAATAAGAGTTTATTCACATGGGCAATACCCACTGTTGTTGAGTTGATTCCAAATGCTAGCGCAAATGCTAGCGGTTCTCCATTGAGTTTGGGTTCCTGAGGCTGTAAATCTTCATAGGCAATGATTACCCGTCTTTTTCCCACAGGTTAGATATTGGATTTGAACCACCAGCATTTTGGTAAAAGACCAACACATACACACTATGCCACCAGGACTCCTTATACCCAGTACAGGAAGGCATTCTAAAGATCTTCACTACTTTAAGGGTGATTCAATTATAAAATCTATTTGTACCATTTACTATGTTGATGTATCATAAAAGGAAAAAATTATTAACTATAGCTGCAAAAAGCTATTGGATAAAATTTAATATTGTTTCTTGACTAAAATTCATATTAAAATGATAGTAGGAGAATACTTCTCAAAATGTTAATATCTTTCTCTGTCATCATCTTGCTTTAACATAAAACATCATCATTATTCTTATTATTGTGGAGCTAATAGGTGGCAAAGTTCGGAAAGAGAGACATTACATTGGAAAAGAGGAAGTGAGAGTAGTTCTTTACAGAGGTTGACAGTATGCACCTGCAAAATCCAAAATGATCAAGTGAAAACTTTTGTCAAGATGTAATATAGCTCAGAAAGATGATTGTTGGTAGGTGCTTCGGGTCCACTGTGACTCACAGTGACTCTGTGAAGAACAGTTTGAAACTTTGCCCTGTGTCACCATCGTAATGTCATACTCAAACCCATCGCTGCAGTCACTGTGTCAGCACATCTAGTTGAGGACTTCCTCTCTCTCACTGATCCTGCTTTTCCTAGAATGATGTCTTTTTCAAAGGACTGGTACCTCTTGACAACATACTCTAACTACATGTGACAGTTTCACCATCCTTGCCTCTAAGAACCACCTTGGTTGCACTTCCTCCAAGATAGCTTTGTTTGTCTATTTGGCAGCCCGTGGGGTATTCAATACTCTTCTCCAATACCAAAATTGAAAGGAACCAGTCTGCCTTACTCATTGTCCAACATTCATGCGCATATAAAGCAATTTTAAAAACCATGACTTGCACAGTCATGGCATCTATGCAGCCTTCATTATGCAGATGACGCAGCGTTGCTTGGAGAACGTGAAGACTTAAAACACTTACTAAAGAAGATCGAAGACTATAGCCTCAACCTTTCAACCACAAATCCTCACTACTGGATCAATAAGCAACTTCATGATAAATGGAGATATGATTGACGTGATCAAGGATTTTCTTTTACTTGGATCTGCAATCTACACACGTGGTAGTGGCAGTCAGGACCTCAAAAGATGCGGTGCATTGGGCAAATGTGTTGTCACGTACCTCTCCAAAGTACTAAATAGAGATGATTTGGTTTGCAATTAATTAATAGATTCCATACACAAACAGTAACTTGTTGGAAAGTGTATTGAAAGAAAAATTCAACAGTAAACTACATGGCAAAAATCTCTGTGCTTATTTATTGCCACATATTATTTGCAATGGCAAGGACTTGGAAACAACCCAAGTGTTCATCAACAGATAAGTGGCTAAAGAAATTGGTATATTCAAACAATACGGTGTTAAATCACTGAAGATGAAGAAGAATTCATGAATATTGCAGAATGTGAATGAACAAAGAACAATTTATGCTGGGTGTCAAACATCAGTCACAAAAGGACAAAGATGTTGTAAGACCACTATTATAAAAATACTAAGAAAAGATTTGTACACACAATCAATCTTGGATGGTTGATACAAATGAGAGGGAGGGAGGGGGGTCAAGACTAATAAGTTCTTCAGTTAGATGAATAGGCATACAGACATAAGGAGTTGATTAGACAATTATATTCTCGATAATGAGTATTATAAAATGAAATAAGAATTTTATAAACTTTCACTCAAAAACAAGGTGTGTTTATCCTGGCCATGAGATGGAGCTCAATGGTGCCTTTCTCCCACTACAGACCACTCTAAAAGGAATCCCAGTAGAAGATTCTGGGTAGAATGAAGGAAAATACTAGACAAAATTTAAAAACATTTAAAAAGCTTTGTTTTATAGAAACTGGTGAAATATTATTAATCAAAATGTAAAACATTATCATTTTCTGAGGAGAGCAATTAGAAATTTATCTGCACTTGTATCTGTAGATCCAGACCAGGGACAAAGATAGTCACTTATTTTTTTCCAGTCATATTTGTAACAACAACTAAAGAAATCCTTAATATTCATCACTATGAACTAGTTATGCTACATCTGTATCAAGATCAGATACTTAGTTAAAGCTGGAAGAAGGTTAGAACTTTGCAATTTCTACTACTATTTGTGCAAATAGCTTAATAATTTAAGCCAGTTATAGTAGTTCTGACTCATTGTTGTAGAGTGGAAACCAATTTAGAGCTGACCCTCCAGCAGATTTTTAGAGGCTATCAAATTGCATGGGGGGAAACTGACCATCTTCCTTCCACAAAGCAGCTGGTGGATTCGAACCACCTGCTCTTGGGTTAGCAGTGCACCTCCTTACCCTCTAGGACACTGCAGTTTTTAATACTTTGTTGTGACATTTCCTTTGGAAATTTTAATCTGCTTTTTATTCTTATTTAAGAATGTTCAGAAAAAAAGGTGTTTTAAATGAATTTGTAATTTACTTTTAGGGAGATATTTCAAGAATTGAAAAAGAATACAGGAAACTACAAGAGCAACTTGAGAACGCATATGAAAATTTTGAACAAACCAGATTCCAGGGCTTAGCAGCAATCAGGGACCTGGAGGAAAATGTGAGAAGAAATGTGGAACTGAGTGAGGTAATGCTCTCGAAGCCTCTTTAGTTGTGCATGTGTAGACAGGAGAATACAAGTGTAACTGTCCTTGTCTCAGCTGGTAACTGAAGACAGGATTCCTTCTCATTTCTGCCTGTTTTGAGTTTCTCTGTGAATTAATGGAGTGACAGCATTTTGTTTGTTTTGGGGCTGTGTATGTGTATGTTGTTTGAAAACCTTTCCAAATTGCCTTCTAAGAAAGCTGAAAGGACTGTGAATTGGATTTTTCATCACATTTTGTTAATTGACTAAAATTGTGTTTTCATTTACTTGGTTAACTAGGTTAACTAGTGAAAGACTTTGCTTTGAGGTTCAGCATGTTAGTTCTGGAGTCAGAATGGCCTTGTCCAAAAGTCTACCTCAGGTTCTACACTCATTCTGACATTCAGCAAATTATTTTACTTCTCTGAGCTTTAACTTCTTATCTGGAAAACTTGGGTAATAGTTTTCCTTTGTAAGGTTATTGTGAAGATCAAATAGATTAATACTTTTAAAAGATCAATGGCTGTAACTCCACTAGAAGGAACTTGCCCCTCTGCCATCATCATCATCATCCACAACACAAAACCACTTCCCATGAGGCCCCACATGTCCCCCACACTCCCAAACGTCAGTCACCTAATTCCCACACCAGTCTTACTGCTCTAGTGGGTCCAAAGTCTATTGCATTTAGTTCACAGAAAACACAAAACCGTACTCACAATTATGAGGATTTTTAAGGAAGTTAATCAGATATCATTTCAGTTGGCAACAGGATACAGTTTCTTATTTAGGACAGCTTCTCAAGCATGCTAAGGTGCCCTTCGGCCTCACGGCTTTTGGCCAGTGTTATAAAGCTCTTGTTGTTATTATAGTGTACCATAGAGTCAGAACAGACACCTAATTGACCCTCCAGCGGGTTTTCAGAAGCGCAGTAAATAGTACGAGAGGAGATTGCCTACCCCTCTCCCGTGGAGCAGCTGGTAGGTTCAAACCTCATGCCTTTGAGGTTGCAGCACAGTTTCTTACCACTTGACCATCAGAATTCCCCATTAACAAAGCTCTTAGTCCTGCCATTTCTGGTGTCTCCTCCCTCTTGAGAGCAAACTTGAGTGAAAGTTCCTGGTTCTGGCTGCAAGAGGTAGCAGTCCGAGGCCAGCTCTGTCTCACAGCAGACCTCTTGTTTGCTGCTGTGGCTGCTGCTACTGGTGCAAAAATCTCTGGCCCTCAAGGGCACTCTGATGCTTTTTTTGCTGACGATAAGATACTCAAATTCTCTTACTGCAGCTCAGTTTAGTGGCAAACTAGCCAATCCCTTTGTGGATAGGCAACCAGACCCTATTTGCATATTCCTGCTCATCCACATGGCGTGGAAGTAAGTGGCTAGGAAAGCCATTTTGAACCATAGAGACTTAACACCACAGTACTTTTAAAGCACTACATAGTAAGTGTGGTAAGTGTTGGCTGCCATCATTGTTATTCCTACAGTTACTAGTCCCAAAAAGCATTCTAAGACTCACACATGGAGCTTAGGTGTACTGGAATCATCTCCATTAAGAGCATCTTGTTTAACATCTTCTTGAGCAGCTTACATAGAATTGGCTGTCAATTATACATAACTTGACTACTGTGATTAATATTGCCATGACCAGATTTAAAGGAAATAGAGTAATGAGGAAATCATGGTTTCTTTTTTTTAAAAAAACTTCTGCCCTTTTTTTTTTTTTTAGAGATATCAAAGAGACATTAGTCCATTGTGGAAGAAGGAATTTGTTCTGGAAGTCTTGATAAGTAACTAGGGTAGATATAAAAAGAAGAGAAATGCCATAACGGAACCATAATTAAGAAACCTCTATGTTGAGATTTAAGTACATCCAGGAAAGCTAGCAAAGGTAACTTTGCTCAGAACATGTTCTATCAGAGAACATCAGAGAACATCAGACCTGCACGTTCTGTGATAATTGTGGCTTTCTTTACTACTTGTGTGTTGGGAGGCTTTTATCCCTTCTTTCCCTTGGTGAGTATGTCTTTTTATGCTCTTGGAGGTGCCAGGCCCTGTGTGGACCTTCTGAGCAGCATCCTCTAGGCTCTAGCGAGGCCCTAGGGTGTCGCATCTCTCTGCTTTCACTGCCCGACTTTCTTTTTATTTTGTGGATACTGTGTTTCCGCTTTGGGCATGTGTACCAGAAAGTTGTAAAACTATTTCTAACAAATGACTGCACCCTCATGTGATCCACTTCTGATGTCATGCTTCCATTCTTGTCTTTTATTCTATATTCTTTACCTATTTATCTTTGTCTTTTTCAGTTGTTACTGTTAGATGCCGTCGGAACTCACTCATTGCTGACATTCTGGTGGCTTTTCAGAGGCTGTAAATCACTCGGGAGGGTGCTGTCCATCTTCTCCCACAGATCAGCTGGTGGATTTGAACTATGTACCCTTGGATTGGCAGCACAGCTCCTTACCACTAGTCCATCAGAGGTCCTTGTCTTTTGAAATAATTTCTTTATTTTAATATACTAATTTATTTACAAAATTCTAATACATTGTTCTCCAGAACAGATTCTTCTATCCATGAAAGCACCTCAGATTGTTTTGGAACAATGTTTATTTTGTTTGCTTATTTCTTTTAAAAAAAAAAAAAGCCTAAAAGTACATTTTCTAAAAAAAAAAAAAGACATCCCAGGGTCTTTAAGGGTAGATCATTAAACTAATAGAAGTTTTTTAGAGAAGAGTTCAAGGGATCATTGTCTTTTATGGGGTGAGAGACAAAGTCATGATGACTGGCTGGTTTAGCATTATAGAAGAGTTAAGTCACTAAAAGATGGTTAGCCAAACAGCAGATGAACTCATGGAGAATTTTCAGCCACTGAGCTATAAATATGTAGGATGTAATACTTTGTGCGTTTTGATACCTAAACTCCATTAGGTGGTTGCTGCCAAGGCGTTTATTACACCCCCACATAACCTTGTAGTTGCCCATCATCTTCCAGATGACTGAGGCCTGGTGAAGTCATTGGCTCAGAATAGAAGCCTCACATAGGCAAGAAATGTGATAGGCCTGCCTTTGAGCTGCAAGGGAGCTGAGTCAACACAGATCATGGCAGTAGAACTAAACTTGGACAGGTGCAGGATTGTGCAAGTGTGTTAAGCATGACACACAGTTCAGTCTCAGGAATGACTCAGCAAATTCAGGAGCACTGAGCTTTTAGACAAGGAAAATAGCAACAGAACTGGTCCCTCCACCCAAGGGAACTTCACCAAACTGTTGTTCAGCCTCTTCTGCCTGAGAACAGTTGGACTCAGCATTTGCAAGCTACCTGAATCAACCCTCCTCCCTCTCTGATAGTACTCTGAAATCTTAAAGGACCTTGTTGTTTAAGGCTGAAGCAGGAGAAATGTATATATATTCTCAGTCCATTCAACTTTTTCTTAAATCATAATTTCCCAGGGAAGCTGTGTAGACTGACTGTCTATTCTGAGGGAAGAGACCCCACCTTGCTGCAGCTAAACTGTTGTCCTCAGTGACTGGTCACTACTCAGCCTAAGAAGGAACTTCAGGTTCCAGAGAACCTATCAGGACATAAAAAACAAACAAATAAACTTCCCTAAAGCAAGTATGAAGCCAGAGGATTTAATTAAGCAACTGTTAGAACAATAGAATGTCAACTTGCAAAAAAAACTTAATGTTTGTTGTTTAAATGTTTCTCTGATGCCTGTAAGTCATATTTAACTATTAGAAATATTAATATAGATACTGTATTACTTACAAAACAAACAAAAAATACCTCTTTGCTGCCAAGTTTGATTTTGACTTACAGTGAGCCTATAGGAGAGAATAGAATTGCCCCATTCTTCTCCTGGGAAGTGGCTAGTGTGTTTGAACTACTACCCTTTCAGTTAACTGCCAGATGTTTACTCACTGAGCTTCCTATATAAACTGGACTTCTTTCTATATGCAGTTTATTGGCCTAGCTGTACTCTGGTGGCCTAGAAGTAAGCAGTTATGGTGCCAACCCAAAGGCAGGCTGCATAAGTCGGCCAGCTGCTCTGAGAGAAAGATGTACGGACCCTCTCTGGCATGGAAGAGGAAGGTTAGTTGCACGTCACATCTAACTGGACAGTACAGCAACAACATAAATGCTTTTTCTCAGCTAGAGAAAGATAGGTGTTGAACTTTTCTTTAAAAAAACAGCAACAAACCTCTCACCTATTTTTTACTTATCAGATAAACTCATTACTGTCAAGTTGGAACCAACTCATAGCTGACCCTCTAGCAGGTTTTCAGAGGCTGTAAACAGAATGGGAAGAGATTGCTCTTCATTCTCCTGAAGAGCTGCTCATGGATTTGAACTGCCGCCTTTAAGATGTCATTGCCATTCTTTACAGATAGAGCTACCCTGTGTTCTTCTAACAACTGGTATTTATAAGTATGTGGCTGCACCCAAACCCCTGTTACAGAATACTTTGAAAAGGAAATAAAACATTTAGAATTTGTAGCTTCAAAGGAAATTTCCAAAACAACAAATGAAGGATATACAAAGTGTGTCTTAAGAGGAGGGGTACCCAGCCTTGGGAGGAAGTGTTAATAAGAGTGCTTCAAAACCTTGTCTTGTCTTTTCTCTTTGTTACATAGCTTGAGGTGTTGACTGGTATCTCGTACATTCCTTCAGTAGCCAGACCAGAAGAATCACATAAATATATTTTAAAAAGCAGACAGACTTGCCAAATAAATATGGATGCAAACTCCATCTAGATTAGAGAATTACTGAGATTCAAGAGCATGTTGATTCGCCATAATGCCATCTTGTAATCAGACTCTTAGTAGGAACTTGAAGGGAAAGAGAGAAAGAAGAGCCATTTCTGGAGAATGAACTCCTTGGGGGTGAGCATGCACCTGAGTCAGAAATCTAGTGAGAATTAAGCATACAGAGAGAGCTAGGGTCCCCAGAGAACGGATCCAAGTACAAAGAGATGAGAGGCAGCTAATGACAGATGTACTTTGTTTCAAAACTGTATCAGAGAAAATTCTTCATTTTCCTCCTTTTCTTCCCTGGCCTCCCAGAACCCAGACTATAGCTATTCTACATTTGAGATGTCTAATTTAATAGGGTTTTAAAATTGGGTTGCAAGCGTGATTTTATTATGAGGAAATTTGTTCCAGATTGCAGCCAAACAACTTGTAAATTGAATTTTGAATTGACAGGCATTAATAAGGTGGGAGTTATCCATCTTGGAGAAGAGTTACCCACCACACAACCAACCTGATGGTGTGCTTTTTTTTTTTTTTTTTTTTTTTGGTGGCCCGTACGGGGAACGAAGATGGTGTGCTAATTTGTGTTTAGGAAATAAATTTTGCCTGTGTTAAATAAATACATTTAGAAACACCTATAATGTATAAATAAGCCTGGCTTATAATTATGGCTTTCTTTGATCTGAAGCCTTCAAGTATGGTTTGTTTTTTTAGTAGATTTTTTTCCCTTTGATTTGTAGTCTTTGTGAAAACTCTTGTAAAAATTTCTGCTCTGGTCCTATGAAAAAAGTCCAAGTTCTTATCCTTATTTTGTATTATATTTTGTTTATTCATAGATTTACCTTATTTAAAACATCTACATCTAGGCCAATTCCCTGTTTCTTTCTATCCTACCCCATCAGCTCTAATTTTAAAACCTTTAAGTCTTTAAATTAATTCTGGCTCCTGGCATTTAAGTTGATTCTCACTCATAGACTTTCCTACCTTTCCTGGTTTTGTTAATGGAATTTTTGTTAATTCCTCCTAATTGAAAATTTGTTTTCAGTTTCATATCAGATATCCAACTGGACACCTATTCTTACAATTTCTCATCTTCCTAAGTTCTTCTCTTTCTTTGTCCTTCCTGCTCTTACCGTCATCGTCTCTGCCCTGCACTGTTGCATTCTGCTTTTGTTTATTTATTTTTGCATTGTTCTTTTAGGAGATTTTTTTCCCTTCCTCTAATCTGGAATTTTTATAATTGAGAGTTATAATCTATAAGTGGATTATAAAATCAGTTTAATGATGCTAACCTAACCTGAGTTATTTTTTTAAGATCGTATAGGAATACCGGAATACATCTCCCCAGAATACAGCTCCAAAAGTAATGTGATTTTTTTTTGCATTTGTGTGTATATGCACAGATAAGTGTGTGTGTGTGTGTGTGTGTGTGTGTGTGTGTGTGTGTGTGTGTGTGTCATTGTTAAAATCTGTTTGTTATTTAGAGTCACAGGAAAAATCTAAAATCTTAATACTCCGTTATCCTCCTTAAGGTCTTTCAGTGACTGACTACACTTGTCTGAAGGAGCGAGGCTGGATTCCTTAGCTTGGTTTACAAGGCCCTTTTCAACTGGAACCTGAACCACTTCTCTTCAATTCTCAGACTTTGTTCTGCAGCCACATAGCACCTCGTGTCCAAACACACCTTATTTTTTTCTCCTTCTACTTTATACCATTCCCACTGCTTAGTCATTCTCCATAATCCAGGGTCATTTTTGAAGACTGGGATCAAATGGGGAGGAAATTATTTATGTAAACCAGTATAAACAAAAATCACTGATTTGAAAACACTTCCTGACTACCATATATTCTTAACATTGGCTCTCTTGTTGTACATTAACATGCCTGTCTCCCTCCATCCATTTGGGTGTCTTTGTACCCTAGGCCTTAGAGGTGGTAGCATAGCCTGTCTCAGGGGTGAGCTCTATAAAATGTCACAGAAATTTTCACAGAACTCAAGTTTTGTTTCATCTGTTACATTGTCATAGTTCTTGCCCTTTAACCTTTCAGGCTGTTTTCTTTACATAATGCTTACCTTTCGTTTAAAAACTTCCTAAAATGTCTGTAGATCTCCAAAGTGGAATTAGAGTGGCTCACCCAAGATTTGGAAAAAGAAACTAAACAATGGCAGCAGCAGAAAAAAGAAAATCAAGAAAAACTAAAAGCACTGAAGAAGAAAGTCAAAAGGCTTCACACTGCAAGTGAAACGTAAGTAACAATTGAAAAGCAATAGTTGTTGTTTTAAGAAAAATAACCTGGGGATTTAAGTTATTTTAACATTTCTGAGTCATTTTTCAAACTATATCAAGCAAAGTAAGAATTTATACACAGTGTTTCAGATACCACATTCATACTGGTTTTATCTAATTTTAGAATTCACCTGTTGGGAAATTAGCTCACCTAAAATTTTCATCTAAGATAATTTATATAAAAATGGGACTAAGAATCAGTAAAAAATTGACTTCTTTCTAGTCTTAATATTGCTCTTTACTGTGAATGCTGCCTTTCACCCTCATTCTCCTTATCTGTAAAATGAGGGTTAGTTTGATGCTAAGGTTCTTTCCAGCACCAAGATTCTGTTACAAGATAACTTACAATTATGTTCATCCTGAATCTTAAAATTATTAGAGCTTGGTTCTGTAGTGTGAAGGGTTTGTTAATACAGACAAACCTGAGCATCATTGCTGAGAGCTTATCTTCGTTACCTAGTGCTGCCACACATAATAGGGGGCTTCAACCAACAGAAATTTAGTTCTTCACAGTTTAGGATGCTAGGAGTGTGAATTCAGGGCCCGGCTCAAGGCCCAAGGCTTCTTCTCTCTGCAGGCTTTGGGGGAAAGTCCTTGTCTCTTTTCAGCTTCTGTTCTTGGTTCCTTAAAGACTCTCATTTGGTGGCATCTCTCTTCCTCACCTGTGCTTGTTTGCTTCTGCCTATTCTGCTCTTTATATAACTCAGGATTGATTTTAAAACCCTATATTTGACATGGCTCCATTAACATAACATAGAAACCCTTATTCCAAAATGGGATTGTGTCCACAAACAGGGATTAAGATTTACAGTACATAATTTTGGGGACCACAGTTAGATCCATAACATTTCACCTATGGGACCTCCCAGAATGCATGTCCTTTCCACATAGAAAACACTCTCAACCTGTCACATAAACCTGAAAAATCTTACCCATTTCATCATCACCTCTAAATTGAATATCTCATCTTCTGAATCATCTCTGATCAAGTATGGCGCTGAGTTTGTTCCATTCAGAGGCAAAGTTCCTTTCCACCTGTGAAATCTAGAATCCAGGCTATCTGTTTGCAATGGTGAGGTAGGTACCAGATAGATATTTCCATTACAGATGGGAGAAATGGAAGGAAAGAAGGGCTCATGGGCACCAGAAAAGTCTAAAGCCTTGCAAAACAAATTATATTCGTTCTCAAGGTCTAAAATCAATTGTCTATTCTTTGGGATCATCTGGGCAGTGGTCCTGCCCTTTAGTCGCTGGCCAGTGGCCCTGCTCTCTTGATTCTGGATGGAGGCTCCGCAGCCCTGGACGTGATCCCCACCTGCCTTCCAAGACACCGACTGTCCTCTCTGTGCTTCATGTAACCCCATTCTCTGAGTCCATCCCACCCCTTCACCTCTGAGGTGTGTCTGCACTCCAGGTCTTTAGGTATGGCAGCCCCCCTCTCCTATGGCTGGCAGTCCCAGTGACTTGTCATACTTAAATGACAACTCCATACGTCAGCACCGGCTATAACAGAAATATCACAAAGGAGTGGCCTTAGCAAACAGAACTTTATTTTCTCATAGTTTAGGTGATAGAGGTCCAAATTCAGGCCTCTAGCTCTATGACTAGGCTTTGTTTCTCTCTGTTTGCTCTGGGGAGGCCCCTGTCTCTTTTTAGCTTCTGTTCGTGGGTTCCTTGGAGAGCTTCATGTGGTGAGGTCTGCGTTCCTTATCTGCGCTTGCTGCTTGCTTCTGTGCATAATCTGCTCTTTGTACCCCTCCCAGCCCACACTCATATGGCCTCATTAATACAGCAGAACTCTGCTTCCCAGAGGGTTGACATCCACATGTGTAAGGGTTACGATTTACACAGTTCAATCCAGCACATGGGCTGAATTTGTTTTATGATCTTCTGTGATCCATTCCTAACTCCCTCTCCCCAAACAGTGATTGTGTGATTCCTTGGATGAATTGTATCAGTTACCTACTCCTGAAATGAACTGCTGTTTTCTTTACTCATGATCCTGCAGTCTGGGTTCAGGTTGTCTGGGCAATTCCTCTGGCCTTGCCAGTGGTCCCTGGTGTGGCTGCATGCCCCTGGCACCTTGGCTGGGGCTGGGCTAGCTGAGTTTAAATTTCTTTCCATGTGGCCTGCAAATGTGACTTACTCTGTATGGTTTCTCCATGTGGTGTCTAACATGGTAGTCAGGCTTTTTTGGCAGCAGCTCTTAGTTCCTGAGTACAGATGCAAAAACTGCCAGACCTCCTTAGGATTCGGGTCCAGAACTGACACAGCATCACTTCCGCCGCATCCTGTTGCTTAAAATAAGTTGCAACCCTGGCTCCAGTTCAAGAGGGCAGTAACTATCAAGAAGCATGGATGATGGAAGGCATAGTTCATGGACTTAATTTGCAAAGACATTTGTAGTTTTAATTTTCACCATGCCAAATGATCTTTACCTCAGAGTCTTGCTAAGATTGCATTTGGAGGAATTTTAGGTAGCCCTTAGGAGAATGAGGGAGGAAATCCAAAGTCTGTAAATTTTCATTAACATTAATAATAAATTTTAAAAAAAGAAGAAGAATAATGAGGGAGTACAGTACATCAACTCCCTATGACACATCACTTTGAATATTCTCTCAATATCAGTTTCATTATTAAAATGCTTTTATGAAAGCTACAATATCTGTAAAATTGTGTGCCTCTTGGTAGTTGAGCATGTCCAGTCTTAATTATCTTAAATTATTTTTTAAAATGCATATTTATTAAATGGATATTTATACTTCTGTAATTGTTATACACTCTCAGAAGCAGGTTTTTTTCTGTGCTAGTGTAAAAGTTCATCATATATGCTAAGGAATAAACTTGAAATTTATTCACTTATTAATATATTTGCTTTTTCCCCCCAGTCACTATTTGGAAATAAGCCAGAGACTGCTCTTATCTTTTCTGCACTTTCCAAATAAATGCTTTCAAGCTAAAATTTTATATTTAAATTTTTTTTATATATTTAAATTTTGAAAGAAAATTTTAAAATGTTTTAGGTCTCTCTCACAGACACAAAAGATATGAAGAATGATTTATTTGATGCTTCTGCCGTTAGATCATACTTTGTATTTGTTAGGCAATAAGTAGGACATAAAGAGCTTATGATTTATGGGATGATGCAAAGGAGAGAGGAAAGGTTTTATAGAATAATAAAATGGCATTTTAAGCTTGTTTTGCAAGTTTCTAGGTGGAAACTTGGGATTTTTAACACATGGAGATGACTCTGTTAAAGGCACCCCATTATAGCATGGAAGAAGGGTTTGTGCAGGGGGTGGCTTGAGAATCAGTTCTACATGCATTGTTTTGAAATATTAACAGCCTTTGTGTGTGTTTTAAATTGACCTTAAGTTTCATTTGAGAGATTCAAAAACTATCTTCATATTTAATTAGAACCACTAGTTATTCCAATGACGATCCCTGTAGCATCTGTCAGCTGTGTCTGTACTTGTAACCACCTTAAGACGTGCTGCAGGAAGAGGGCTGCGATAGGGTGACGTTCACCGTGAGCTTGTGGCTCAGAGCGTAGGGAGAAGGGAGGCTCCTTCGAGGTGTACGGGAAACGTGCATGTCCAGTCCAGGGAAACGACCCAAGGTTATGTGCCTATTTAATACTAGAAGCAAAACGTAGAAATGTATAAAGCATTAAGAATTATTTGCATGGATATGGGAATTCACTGTGGGATCATGTTTGAAAACAATCTTTTGACATTTAATTAAAATGTGGTGATTATTGTTTTATAGGTGTACCCAGAAAAATGATGAAAAGGATGAGGAACATGGATTACATCTGGATGAATCCCTTGAAATCAGGCAAATTAAGCTTAAATTAATTTTTAATATATTATTTTTAGTACCATAGGCACAAGCACACTAGGCTTCTATAGATATATTGATACTTTTCTGTTAATTTTAAATAATTATATAGACAATTTTCTATTTTCTTTTACATTTTTTTACAAGGTTTCTACTTTTATTTCACATTATCGATTCAAGGAAATCCTGAATATATTGCCTATATTACACCTTTTTCTTAAATTGATTTTTAAAACCGAACTGCATTCCTAAAACATTTTGACTTAGTTTGACTCTTCAATCAGATTCATAAAATACATTTTGTTATAAACTTAAAATAAGTTTCAGTTCTACATTTGTTAATAGAATTACATGTTTTTGCATAGTAGTAACCAGTATGTTCAGTGTTAAGCAGTTGTGTTGTTCTTCCCACCTGATCCTGTCCCATGTACACATTTTCCAGGGAGTTCCTTGGTGACTTACACAATTAAGCCATCAACCAGTAGCTACAAGTTTGGCAGTTCACACTCACCTCAAAGAACAGGGCTGGCACTCTACTTCCAAAAGATCAATAGCCGTGAAAGCCCCATGGAGCAGTTCCACTCTGCACTCCAAGGGAGCCCACAGTTAAAATCCACTCAAGGGCAACTATCAAGCAACGACAGCAATATATATACATTTCTGTTTATGTCATGGCCATGACCCCACACCCCCACCCCTTTTTTCCCCACTCCTCTGTGGAACATTTTGTTTTATTTCCACATTTAAACTTTTTAAAACAATTTTATTATTTGTGTGTGTGTGTGTGTGTACCATCAAATTGGATCTGGTACAGGAAGAGATTGCCCCTCCTTCTCCAGCAGAGCATCTGGTTGATTCGAACCAAGTACCTCTGAGATTGCAGTGCAGCTTCTTGCCACTAAGCCACCAGAACTCTCTCACATTTAAACTTTTTATGAAAGTTTTACTTTGAACAACTTTTCTCGTTTGGATTACTGCCTTCCAGTATGCGTCAAAATGGAATTATTGGGTTGAAGGAGGACTACTTTTCTAAGTGTGTGAATGTGGTCAGCTTGCTCTCTACCACCCTGGTGAAAGGAAGGGAGCCTTACTAAGCCCTCACCAGTTTCTCAGCACTCCTGCAAGATTCTCATCCTCTCACTGCTCCCCATGCATCTGTGTGCTGTGTGGTAACATATTAGGAATGGAGTTACTCCACCAGAGGTTATGTGTAAGGCATTTGGGACATGATTCCAAAGCCAGCCTGGCTTCAGCCTTTATGATCATGGGTTGAATTTTTTTTTTGGGGGGGGGCTGAATTTTTTTAAGAAACTTTTCTTTCTTTTTCTTTAATTTTTCCAGAAACAGATTTGCAAATGAGAAAGCAAAATTGCAAGAAAGCATAAAGAAAGGAAAAGAGGATTATGAAAAAGCCCGTGAAAGGCTCATTGATGCAGAGGTGAGTCTCAGGTTGGTGCCCACGGCAACTGGAGAGTGACAATGTTGTAAAATGTCAGTTGTTTCTTGTTTGCACGGGGGTGTGTGTGTGTGTGTGTGTGTGTGTGTGTGTGTGTGTTTAATTATTCTGGAAGCATCACTGTTATGCTGATGAGTGTTGGGAATAAAAATTTTCCTTTCACCTGTAATCTAGCTTCCTAAAAACCAACTGTTTTTTCCTCCCTTGCTTGTACCTTTTTTGAGTCCCTCGGTGGCATAGATGGTTAGCCACTGGACTTCTAGTTGGTTGAGATTCACACACTTATTTTTAGATCATAGAAAAAGAGGAAGACCTCCAAGGAATGGATTGATACCGTGGCTGCAGCTGGGTGTGAATACAGCCAGGATTGGAAGGCTGGCCCTGGACCACACACACTTTCCTTCTCATGTGTGTACAGGTCACTGTGAGTCACCACCTGACCGTCTTGGCTGTGCTTGCATCCATCTGCAGTTTGACATGATGATCCCACAATGTCCTGCCTTGTTCAGCTGTTCATAATAGGTTTCTTAGTGATCTCCTCCTGACATCAGTGCTTGCCCCTGAGCATAGTCTGCTCTTTTATATCTCAAAAGTGATTGAGTTCACGCACACCCTGTACTGATAGGGGTTCATAAACCAAAATTCACTTACTCATTGCCATCCAGTCTGAACTGACTCGTAGCTGACCCTCCAGCAGGTTTTCAGAGACTGTAAATTGCATGGGAGGAGATTGCCCATCTTTCTCCCTCAGAGCAACTGGTGGATTTGAACTAATTTTGGAGGGCACAGTTCAATCCATAACAGTGCCCTTACTCTGTGGATAATATATCCATGTCTGTTTTTGAACTGCTTTGATTCTGTAATGATTCTCATAGTGTCTGATTTTATTCTCATGATGGTGTTTAGTTGGCTCATGAGAAAGCCATAGATCTAGTTATTGGATCTTATGAAAGACTCTCAGTTGTTTTCAAAGCCGAGAACAAGTACCATGGGGCTTTTAATTCCGAAACAACCTTCTGGACAGGTTCCACTTGCCCTGGGCAGGATCATAGGACCATGTTCTGTGCTTGTCATAACTGAAGCATAGAGTGATAGGAATGTTTCACATTTGAGACTTGTATCATTAAAGGCAAATATTGATACATTGGTATAGTATTATTGAAACTGTACTGTGTCTTTCTCTTTTTCTATTTTCAAACATTTTTATTATACTCAAATGAGTGAAATTAGAACATAATGATGTTCTGGTTATTGTTTTCATATGTCATTTTGAGCAAAACCGAAACTAGCTTCTTGTTGTTGTTTTGGTTTGCCCTTAAGTAGGAACTGACCCATAAGTGACTCTCCAGCAGGTTTTCAGAAACAGTAAACTGCATAGGAGGAGATTGCCCATACTTCTCCCCAAAGAGCAGCTGGTGAATTCAAACCACATGCCTTTGGAATTGCAGTACAGCTTTTTATCACTAGGCCATCGGAGCTCCATGGAAATATTAGAGTTGTACAAATAAAAATAAAACCATTACTATGAAAAAGGTAATAAAAATGAAAAATCATGTACATAGATTTCTTTAACTGGAGTAGGAATGAATATGGCAGTAATTTTAGAAGTGGAGATCATCTGAAAATGATTTGAAAAATCACTTTGAATTGTAACCCTTAAAAGCACTAATCTTACTTGAATGGTGTCCTCCAAACAAGTACAGTGCCCTATCTATGAGCACAGCACAGTTTTATCCAACAAAGGAGCTATGGTGGCTAAGGGTTAAGGTCCTAAACTACTCATAAAAAGGGACCTCTGGCAGCCTCCTGGTAAGAAGCTGTGCTGCAATCCCAAAGGTATGTGGTTTGAATCCGCCAGCTGCTCCATGGGAGAAGGATGGGCAGTCTCCTCTCATGCAATTTACAGCCTCTGAAAACCTGCTGGAGGGTCAACTAAGGGTCGATTCTGACTCCATGGCAAATGACAACAACTAATAAAAAGATGATGATTCAAACCATCCAATGACTAGAAAGAAGAAAGATGCAATGGTTGGCACCATAAAGGTTGACTCACAGAACTCTATGAGCAATTCTCCTTATCACAGGGCTTGCTGTAAAGTTGTAACCACTTGGCAGAACCCAACAACAAATATCAACATAGTTTCTTCCTTTTTTGTTTTGTTTTGTTGCTTTTAAAATACTTAAGACATTTCCTTATCTAATGCCAGGTATCTGTGCTTGAATGCTGGAAGGAAATGCATGTGTGGAACCTAGAGGTCACTCAAGCAAAGGGGAAATCCTATATTGAGTTCCTGAAAAAGCATGCCAGGTACCACTCAGTCTCACCTGAGTTCATCCTACTGTGCCACATTAAAATTGTCACTGACTGTTTTTACATAGTTTTGCATTGTGATTTTAGTCAATGTTTATGGGTAAAATGAGTTTCTCTTTAACCGTATTCATACACATTTTGTTTTATGATGTTAATGACAGTATCCATAAAAGAATCAAACACCTGTTTTCCCCTGTGATCTTTGTTTCCATTAATTCTTCCATCATACCCCTTCCTGCTTTTGGGCTTTATCTTATAAATACTTTCTATGTGGTTGGTACTCCTATGACTACCTCTCTGATATTTTTTTTTTCGCCTTATAGGCCTATTTATTGTTTGAACCTTTCTCTATCTCTGAAAGAGAAGATGACTCCCAACATGATAGATTGACACTGTGACTGTAATAATGGGCTGAGTATACCCGAGATCATGAGGATGGCTCAGGCTAGGGCAGGGCTCAGATCTGTTGTTCACAGGGTCATGATGTGTCATAGTGGACTCAGTGGCACCTAACAGTTACAACAACATTGTTTGGGTGAAAGTTGAACCACTGGGGTTAGTTTCACTCCAGGTTCAAAGGATGACTAAGCGACACAGTGATGGAGGTTCTGCTAGTCTGTCTCAGATATTTAGCCTGGCCCATTTGTTTTTTTAGTTTTGCTTCATGTTTTTCCACTCTCTCTGCCAAGGACCTTCTCCTGTGATCCCTTTAAGAGTAATCAGCAGTGGTATCCAGATCTAGTTCTTCTGATTTCAAGAGGTTGAGGTTTTTGTGGTCTGTCAGGCCCTGGATAGATTGTTTCCATGAATCTTTGCTTTCCACCCTCCCCTTTGTTCTGGACAGGCGACCAGTAGTTGCACCTTAGCTGGTTGCCTGTAAGCTTTTAAGACCACAGTTGCTGGACACTGGAATGGGATATGGAACAGTGTCTTGTGGGCTCTGTTGTCCACAAGTATTTGGAGGAAGGAATGTGTGTGTGTGTTCCACTGATTAACATAAAAGGAATTTCTTTCCTATGGATCATTCCATTTATCCAACTTAATTTTGAAAACTGGGGAGAATTCTAGCATGCAAATGAGTCCTGATTTATCAGCTACCACTGAAAAGATAGTTCGATTATTTGGGAATTTTTATGACTATAAGCTGCCCTTAGTGAACAAATTTGTAGCCATATCCCTATGAACATTATTGTTTCCATGTGGTACATTTCTGGAATGATGATCACATTTTTTAAGACTTTCTAAATATTTTGCAAATTTATTTTTCTATAGTGGCTACAATTTCAATTTTAATGGCAGAGTAGGAGAATATCACTAAAAAAGAATAATCACACATGCTGATTTTTTTTATTTTATTGGGAAAAACATGTTGGGGATACCAGGAGGTGAGGGTTGGGAGCATAAGGGTGAGGATGGGCAAGGATGAAAATTGCAGGGCTGCATAATTTGGTTGGTGAGGGGAGCAGGTGAAGGAAATGAAAAAGGTCGAGTGGAGACCAGATGATACAGGGCAATGGTAAGCATAGTCCAATGGTGATTAAACAAATTGTCTTATTAACTTGTGGGTTTCTCATTTGGGAATTGGGCGCAGACTCTCTGGCTTCTTCATGCCAACAGGGGCGTTGATGTGAAGGCGGAAAGGGAGCACACTTTATCACCTTACTGGTGGTCTTGGGTTAAAGCTGTTTGCCTTTTTGTTCTATTAGAAAATATTTTCCTGACATTTACTCCCCTCTGGACTGCAAAGTATTTTCCCGAGTGGGCCCAATGGGGATGGCTGGTTGAACCCTGAGGCTCCATCCTCTTTTGCTTCCTTAGCTGGCAGTTGTATTTCCTTTTTGTCTCTGGAACTCGGTTCAGGGTCAGGTCTGGAGTAAAACTCAGTGTTAAGGTTACCTATAGGAAAGGGAGCAAACCTAGAGAGAACAAACTTGTGAGTTACAAATAGAAGGGCTTTGGGGGTGTTACTTACTGGTGTACTGGGGGAGAGGGTGGAGGAAAGTAACCTAGATAAAATTCTCTGTACACCCTAGGCAGTTTTTTCTACCCAGGGTTCGGATGGCAGAACCTGAGGGCTGAGGAGCTCACCCTGAGGGCCAAAGACGGCTCACCCCAAGCCGAGGGCCGAACTCTCTCCAAGGGCCATATAGCCACCCCAAGGGCTGGACGACACCCCGCCGAGGGCCAGGAGACACACTCTAGGGGCTGGCTGGCACACTCCCCCACCAAAGTCCCCCCGACCCAAGTCCAGACCCCTCACCTGACCAAAGACCATGTGGTCAGGGACAGGGTCCCCAATTCCAGCACTGCTACCTTTACCCCCCGCACCCCGCCTCCAATAAGTGGTCATACTGTAATTTGAAGTAGGTGTCACTGCCCTCCCCCTTTATAAATGTAGAGGGAACCTGAGAGTGGTGAACAGACTCCCCCCAGGTCTAAACTGTTCTTGGCAGAGGCATTCAACAGATCAAAAGATGTGGTGCATTTAGGATATCTGCCGTCTTGGACATGATGCTACTGTTAAGTGCCATCAAGTTGTAGACAGCTCTGCAGTGACTCTGATCAATCCATTGTATTGGTGAGCTTCCTCTCTGGCCAGCCCAAAGAAACCCGAACCTGCTGCTGCTTCTCCCATCTCCACCATCTTGGCTCCAAGAATTCTCCCCAGAACAAGTCCACTCTGCTGTGGTGTGGCAGCTCTGCTGCACCAGCCTTGGGGTGAGGGGGGCGGTGCCCACCATCCATCCCACGTGAGGGTATCCCTGGGGTCCTGCGGTGGGAGCCTCATGGAGCTGCGGCAGCGGTGTGGGCTCGGTAGCAGGGGGCCGGGGCCAAAGGACTCACTCATTCCTCCCTGGGAATCCTTGATCTCCTGATGTTGAGCTTCAGTCACACCAAAGACCAGTCATCAAGTGTTTTAACTGTTCATTTATCAATAAACAGAGGTCTGTAGAAGGCCCTGGTGGCCCTCCTCCAAGCGGTCCACTGCTGCTGCAGCTCGCCACATTGTCTCCACTGCCGCCCGCCATCTTGGAAACCCCCCATGCTGAATTTTTTAAATGCAGCATAATTTTTACCTGTTTTTGGTTGGTTTCATTTTGAAAATAAACCTAACTTGAGAACACTAGAGGGGCTTTTTCAGTCTAGTGTTAGTACTCTCTTTTTGAAATTTTATTTTATTAATTTTAATGAACGTTTACAGAGATTTTGGATTTCCTTTCATTCATTGTTGCGTTTTCCCCCTGCCCACCCCTCCCCCGCCCGAGTTTGCTCTTCTCTTTGAAAAGTTAAAAAAAAAAGTTCCTTCATTGGTATACAATACCCCCTCCACCCCCAGTACACTCTACTATGCAACCTTCATTCTGGACTGTTGTCATAACCATAATACCCTATCATATATTGCTTTTAAGCTGTTAACTCCCTCATCTGTTAGTATTCTTCTTACATGGGATTTATACTTTCTTTTTTTTGTTTGTTTGGTTGGTTGGTTGGTTGGTGGCTTATTTTTTTTTATTTATTATTAATTTCAATGAAAATTTACAGAGACTTTGGGTTTCCATTCATTTATTGTTGTTCTTTTCTCCCCTCCCAGCTCTCCCCTCTAAGACACTACCCTCTTGGAAAAGTAAAAGAAAAATTATTTCATTGTTTTACAATCCCTCCTGCAGGTCCACTCCACTACGCAGCCTTCACTCTGGACTCCTGTCATGACAAAAATACCTAATCACCTATATCTTTTAAACTGTTTTCTCCCTCATCTGTTTCAATGTAGTATA